TGTCCAACAACCCAGAGGGGAGGTGAGTCAGCCACCCCACAACCCCAACCTCTCCTGGGCTTGACAGAGGAGGATTGATGGAGCCCTGGGCCTTCCCTCCCGACTATTACCATCAAGAAGCAAGAGCCTAGGGTCACCTTCCTGGTGGATAGATGCTTCATTACCTTCCTCTTGGATACAGGTGCCACTTTTTTGATCTTGAGGAAGTATTGGGGTCCTACCACACCCTCAAAAACTCCTATTGTTGGGGTAAGAGGTAAACAGATTTTCCCTCAACCCTCCCCTCTCATCATGTTATATGCAGGGATCCCTTTTGTCCTTCACACACTCCTTTCTCATTATGAGCCATTGTACCATTCCCCTTCTGGGAAGGGACATACTTTCATTATTGAAGGTCACCATTCACATATCACCTCCCCCCATCTCCCCTGCCTCTCATTTTTTTCATGATGATCCTAGGGACAGATACACCTCCATCATGTACTCTCCCATGACTATCTAAACCAGTTAATCCTGAGGTTTGGGACACAACTACACCCTCTATGGCTAAATACAGTCCTATTCATATTGTCTTATGGGACCCTTCAAGATATATTAGTCAACCACAATATCCACTTACAACCACAGTCCTCCTCGGATTAGAACCCATCATCCACGATTTATTACAGAAGGGGTATCTTAGGCCTACACACTCTCCTTTCAACACCCCCATTCTGGCAGTTAAGAGACCTAACGGGTCCTACAGACTGGTTCAAGACCTTCGCCTCTTCAACTCCTCTGTGGTCCCCAATCACCTGCTAATGCCCAACCCGTACACCCTCCTCTCTCAGATCCCTGCTACTACTACCCACTTCTCAGTTCTAGATTTAAAGGRTGCCTTCTTTTCTATTCCCTTGTCCTCAGAATTTCAGGATATCTTTGCTTTTACGTGGACTGATCCTCACACCCACCATTCTCATCAACTTACCTGGACCGTCCTCCCGCAGGGATTCAGGGATAGTCCCCATATCTTTGGCCAAGTTTTTGCCCAGGACCTCACATCCTTCCACCCTACCTGTCCTGACTCTACCCTCCTTCAATATGTTGATGATTTTCTTCTATGTAGTCCCTCTTGGAAACACTCTCAATCCCACACTGCCCAGCTTCTCAATTTCCTAGCGAATAAGGGATATAGGGTGTCTCCCCCCAAGGCCCAGGTTTCCCAGTCTACTGTCACCTACCTTGGTTTTCACCTTGCACCGGGAAAAAAGGAAATAACACTGGATAGGAGGCAACTCCTCTTTAATCTTCCGGTGCCTCATACGAAAGCCAAAATACTATCATTCCTAGGACTAGCAGGATATTTTAGGGCCTGGATCCCAAATTACTCTCTTCTATCCAAACCCCTGTATGACCTAGGAAAGGGACCCCCTGGTGAATCTCTTGCCTCCTCCCCCCACTACCACTTCCACAGTCTTCAGCAACTCCTCTTAAAGGCACCCGCCATTCACCTTCCTGATCTTTCAAGACCATTTCATCTATATGTCCATGAAAAAGGGGGGCAAGCACTTGGAGTTTTGGGTCAAAACTATGGACCTACATTTGTACCTGCGGCATATTTGTCCAAGCAATTAGACGCTACCATCCATGGGTGGGCCTCTTGCTTAAGAGCTCTGGCTGCTGGACAAATTTTACACAAAGAAGCCTCTAAGCTGACTTTCAGGGTCCCTTTAACTATCCACTCCCCACATCATTTGAAGGATCTTTTAGCTTATAAGGGCCTTCAAACCCTTCTTCCATCCAGAGTCCTGTCACTCCTCATTTCCTTTCTGGAAAACCCAATATTATGTTCCTCCCCTTCCCTGCACTGAACCCTGCCTCACTGCTCCCAATGACCCCCACACCTGACACACCAGCTCATAATTGCTTGGAAACCTTGGATGATTTCCTCCCTTGTCTTTCTTCCATTTCTGAGGGACCACTCACCAAGCCTGACCTTATTTGGTTCACTGACGGCAGTTCCTTTAGGCAGAATGGCACTCATTACTCTGGATACACCATAGTTTCAGCCACTGAGATTATAGAGGCCAAAGCTGCCTCCAGGAACTACAAACCAGCAGGCTGAACTTGTAGCGGCCACTCGTGCCTGCCTTATAGCACAGGGCAAATCCCTCACCCTTTATACTGACTCAAAATATGTCTTCCATATTCTATTATCCCATGCTGCAATATGGAAGGAGCGAGGTCTACTTACCACCAAAGGTAATGCGATCACTAATTCAGCTCTTATAACCAATTTGATAGAGGCCTCCCACTTACCCACCCAGTTGGGAGTTGTCCATTGTAGGTCCCATCAGAAGGACGGCTCTCTTATCACTGAGGGCAATGCCAAAGCTGACCAGGTGGCATGGATGGCTGCTACCACTTCCAGTTATGACCCCCCTGGGGGACATATAATGGCCACTTTAGACTGTCCATCTGAAGCCCCCTACTTTTTCCAGTAAGAACAAGGACCTTTTCGAGTTCCTCCATACTCTATTCCATTCCAGTTCTCAGTCTTTGACCCTCTTTTTACAGAGCTTCTTCTCCCTCACCCCCTCTGACAAAGCCATGCTTCAGAATATAGCCTCTAATTGTCAGATCTGTCAGTGGACCAACCCTCATACTCCTTTAAGGCCTAAACAGTTTCCCTCCCACCAAGTCTGGGGACATATTCCTGCTGATGACTGGCAGGCCAATTTCACCAACATTCCCACAGTACAGCGTACTACCTCCTTTTCTTTGTGGACACTTTCTCTGGTTGGGTTGAGGCATTTCCCACTTCCAATAAAAAGGCTTCCACTGTAGCTTCAATCTTACTGACAGACATCATTCCCAGATTTGATATGCCCACTTCCTTACAATCCGACAATGGCCCTGAGTTTATTTCTCGGATAACACAAAAGGTCTCTCAAGCCCTCTCCTTCAAGTGGCATTTCCACTGTCCATATYGCCCCCAGGCTTCATGGAAAGTGGAAAGGGTAAATCAAACTCTGAAGGAAATCTGTACCAAACTGACAATGGAATTAAACTTAGACTGGGTCAAATTCCTTCCCTTGGCTTTGCTTCAGATCAGAGCTCTCCCTAAGAAACCATCTTTACTGTCTCCCTTTGAGATAATGTATGGAAGACCTCTTATACCACCTGGGTTGGTCATTTCACAAGGACCTCTCACCCGAGATTTGTCTTTACCTCTCTTGTTTCATCTCTGCTCGGAACTCTGGAAATATCAGGACTGGCTTCTTCCRGACCCAGACTCCTCTCCAAAAACTCCTCCCTTAACACCTGGGAGTTTAGTCTATTATAATACCTCAGAGGAGAAAGGGCCTCTTTCCCCAAAATGGGAAGGCCCCTATCTGGTCATTCTCTATACCCCCACCACCGCCATACTCTCCTTACCAGACAACTGTCTCACCCCCTGGATTCACATTTCTAGGTTGAAGCCATATCACCTAGAGGCCTCACCTGCTGATGACAGGACCACCCCAGAGGAACTCCAAGAGTCACCTCCTGAACCTTCCCTTTACTCCTGCTCTCCACACCCATCTCACTCCTTAAGTTGTGGCTCACACGGTGTTCCCCACAGCACAATTCCTCTTAGAGAAGGCACAATGAGCTTTACCAACACCCTAATCCTCTCTCTCTGCTTGTTTTTTGTGCTCTGCTTGTTTTCTGTGCTCTGTCAGGACTGGTCTTTACCCTCCTCTCCTACCATGTACCAATTCACCCTTCGGGAATGATACTTGGAACATGGCATGCAGAACATCTGCACAGTGGATGTAACTACTTGCTTCATCCACAACTGCACCTCTGTTTCCCTAAAATTGTCACCTTCCAGGACCTTTGCTCCTGGTAGCTGGAACTGGCCTTTCATTTGCTTCCTTTTTGATCAAACCAAAGACTATTGCCATTGGTGGCCTGAGGTATATAATGGGTGCCCCTATTGGTCATGCAGGCTCCATGATGAATGTGGTAGTTATTCTTACCACTCACTTGGCTACCCTGAAGGGTGGACTTCTAGTTATCTCAAATGGCATAAGGGCTCTTCATCTGATAACAATGGATGGTATACTTTAGATATATCTGACCCCCAAGGCCAAACTTTGGGACTATGTTGAGTTTGCTGTCTATGTTCAGACAACCTCAGCCAAACCCACAGCATGGATGACTGTTGGCCACTCCCTGATAACACCACCTAAGGCAACCATCCAGGTAGTCAAACACATCAAGGAGTCAGAATCAAAACTTTGAGATCTTATCCATAGCCCATCCAAAGGGGATTCAGAGTCTTTAACCCCCTCAGGCCCCCCTCCCACATGGCTCAATTTGCTACACCAAACTCTCTGATTATTAAACTCCACCCCTCTTTCTGTGCCTACTTCTCAGTGCTTCCTCTGTGCTTCACTTAGTCATCAGCTTCTAGCAGCAGTCCCATTAGCGACAGGAAATATTTCAGCAAACCCTACAATTTCTCTGAGAAAAAAGGACAACCCCTACATGTGGCACGTATCCCACTATGGGAAAGTTATTCCACCAATGCTTCATTCCCTTYCATCTGTTTCCACCTTCCAACAATGAATCCTTTACCCATTTGTTCCTTGAGCTATAGCACCCCATCGAGCCCTGCGTTTATGCAACCTGGACATTTCCTCTGGTGTAATGGGTATCTCAATGACCAATGTCTCTGGCACCTGTTTCTTGGTTACTGTAGTTCCTCAGCTGTCTTTGTATACTCCCACCAAATTCTGACAGTTGGCCCTACCTTTCTGCACCTGTAGGGCAGTCTTTCTGCTGGTTCTGGTAGGCCTCACTTTAATAACCTCAGTGGTGAGTCTTGGATTCTCTGGTGGAGCTATAGGCATATAGCTCATTCTCTATGGGCATCCAATGACCTTCAACAAAAACTGCAAGAAGCACTTGATACCACTGCTGAGTCTCTGGGCTCCTTGCAGCGGCAGGTTACTTCATTGGCACAGGTAGCTTTACAGAACCAAAGGGCGATTGATCTCCTCACTGCAGAAAAAGGGGGTACATGACTGTTCCTCAGAGAGGAATGTTGCTACTATGTTAATGAGTCTGGGCTAATAGAAAAGAATGTTGTTAAATTGCAGGAATTATCGACCCAATTGCTCAAACCCACCTCCCCTAATCCCATAATGGGGTTCTTCCAATCCTCTCTCGCCACGTACTTACTACCTTTCTTGGGGCCCCTTATTGGGATGTTTCTTTTTTGCACTCTCTTGCCCTGCATAATGAAGTTCCTTCAAACCCAATTACAGAAAATTTCTAATCAAATTTTCAACCAGCTTCTACTTAGGCACTACCAGCCTCTGATGACAGATGAAACCCCAACATCTTCAAGACAACAGCTCACTCAGTGCTGAAGCTTACTACCAGGCATGATGGAATGCAATGGACATCAGACAGTGGGAGTCAATGAGCCCAGAGAACCTCTTAATCTGCCATCCTGGATTTTTGAGCCTTTATGTCCTTTTAAGCCTCCTCATGGACCTTGGCCTCTTCTCTGTCAGTCCCCCAACATGGAACTTCTGCCAAAAACTGACCTTTGCTTTAATTTTTATCTTCATCCTGTTTTTGTTCACTCTGATCTTCTTCAGGTGCTGGTGATGCCATGTCAAGGCAATGCTTCCAATATTTCCTAGAGTCTCTGTTACAGGACCAGTGGCTGATACCAAAAATCTCCTCCATCCAGGACTGGTTCTATGCCATCCATGACTTGTGGCTTCAGGGAACCTTCATAGACTTCACCCCTACCAAAGTAGCTGTCTATAGCCACTGGGTTTTATTTCTGGCTGCCATGATATCCCCAGACCTGCGCCTAAAAACCTTCTCTTCCTACTTTCCCCTTTTCCACTGGTGCAAAAAGTTCCCGAGAGTGTGAACTCTCCCACTGGTGCCAATATTTCAAATTTCACTGGTGGAGAACCTTAGCCCCAATAAGAACTGATATCTGGAAGAACTTGCCAATAAACAGGTGGCCCGCCATTTATCTAAGCCCTGCCATCTCTCCTTAGATCTATATAAGCACACAGCCTTTTGCAATAAACTGGAACTCTCCCTGGCGAATTGTCTTGCGTGGAGGCTTCTTTCATTTAACATTGATCTACCAGTCTGTTTTGGTGTCAATACYRTGCTATTTTTGTTACTATTTCTCTGTAGTATAGTTTAAGATCTGGTATAGTGATGCCACCTACCTTACTGTTCCTTCTAAGGATTGTTTTAGGTATTCTGGGTCTCTTACTTTTTTCCAGATGAATTACATGATTGCCTTTTCTATTTCTATTAGGAATGTCATTGGAACTTTGACGAGAATTGTATTAAATCTGTATAGTGCTTTTGGTAGTTTGGTCATTTTGACAATATTAATTCTGCCTATCCAAGAGCAAAATAGATTATTACATTTTCTAAGGTCTTCTTTGACTTCTTTCTTTAGGGTTCTGTAATTTTCATTATATAGATCTTTTCACCTCTTGTATTCAGTTGATTTCCAAGTTTCTTTTTTTCTTTCTTTCTTTCTTTCTTTCTTTCTTTCTTTCTTTCTTTCTTTCTTTCTTTCTTTCTTTCTTTCTATTGTAAATTTGGTAGTTTTCCTCATTTCCCTTTCTGAGGATTTGTCACTGATAGAGAGAAATGCCTTTGATTTATGGGTACTGATTTTATATCCTGCTAGTTTGCTGAATTCATTTACTAGTTCAAGAAGTTTTCTGGTGGAGCTTTTTTTGGGTCTTCTAGGAATAGAATCATATAATCAACAAATAGTGCCAATTTGAGTTCTTCTTTCTCTATGTGTATCCGTTTAATTTCTTTCATATGTCTAATTGCTCTGGACAGTATTTCAAGAACTATGTTGAATAGAAGTGGTGAAAGAGGGCATCCCTATCTTGTTCCAGTTTTTAGAGGGAATGCCTTCAATTTTTCTCCACTTAAGATAATGTTGGCCTGAATCTTGTTGTAGATAGTCTTTATGATGTTTAAATATGTTCTTGTTATCCCTGGTTTTTCTAGTCTTTTGAACATGAAGTCGTGCTGTATTTTGTCAGATGCTTTTTCTGCATCTATTGAGATGATCATATGATTCCTATCTTTAAATCTATTGATGTGATGGATTACATTTATTGATTTCCATATGTTGAACCAACCTTGCATCCCTGGGATGAATCCCAATTGATCATGGTGCACAATCTTTTTGATATGTTTTTGTATTCGATTTGCCAGAATTTTATAAAGAATTTTTGCATCTATGTCCATTGGAGATATTGGTTGGAAGTTCTCTTTTTTTTTGATGTGTATTTGCCTGGTTTTGGAATCATGGTGATATTGACCTCACAGAATGAATTTGGAAGTGCTGCCTCTTTTTCTATTTTCTGAAATAAATTGAAGAGTATTGGTATTAGTTCTTCTTTAAAGGTCTTGTAGAATTCAGCTGTGTATCCATCCAATCCTGAGCTTTTCTTGGTTGGTAGACTTCTGATGGCATCTTCAATTTCATTGCTTGAAATTGATCTGTTTAAATTGTGTGTATCATCCTGATTCAATTTGGGTAAATTACATGACTCTAGAAATTTTTTGATGCCTTTGATATTTTCTATTTTATGGAGTATAAGTTTTCAAAATAATTTCTAATTATCTTCTGTATTACTTTAGTGTCTGTCATACTATTTTTTTCATTATATATGTTAGTAATTTGAGTTTTCTCTCTCCTCTTCATTAGCATGGATAAGGTTCTGTCCATTTTATTAATTTTTTCAAAGAACAAACTTTTTGTTGTCAATTTTTCATTTTTTGGTTTTAATTTCTTTGATTTCAGCTCTGATTTTAATTATTTCCTGTCTTCTATTGCTTTTGTTGTTGATTTGTTCTTTTTTCTAGGGCTTTGAGATGTATTGTTAAGTCATTTATTTGTAGACTTTTTCTTCTTTCAAGGAATAAATTCCTTGCAATGAACATTCCCCTTAGAACTGCATTCATAGTGTTCCAGAGATTTTGATATGTTGTATCTGTGTTCTCATTCACCTCTAAAAWTTTTTTAATCTTCTCCTTGATGTCTTCTGCAACCCATTGCTCATTCAGTAGCATATTATTTAGTGTCCAGATGTTGGAGTGGCTTTTATTTCTTATTTTATCATTGATTTCTAATTTCACTTTATTATGATCTGATAGAATGCAGGGTAGTATCTCTACTGTTTTATATTTGCTAAGAGTTGCTTTGTCACATAGCATATGGTCTATTTTAGAAAAGGATCCATTTGCTTCTGAGAAGAAAGTGTATGCTCTCATCGAAGGATAAAACATTCTATATATGTCAGTTATCTAAGTTATTGATTGTGTTATTTAGTTCCATGGGTTTTTTTAGCTTTTGTTTGGAAGGTCTATCTAGTGATGAAAGAGGTGTGTTAAAGTCACCCAAAATTATTGTGTTGTAGTCTATTTGACTCTTGAACTTGAGAAAAGTTTGTTGAATGTAGATGCACTATTGTTTGGGGCATATATATTTATAATTGTTAAGTTTTATTGGTATATTGATATACTTTGAGCAGTATGTAGTGTCCTTTTTTTCCCTTTTTGATTGACTTTATTTTGAAGTTTACTTTATTTGATATGGGGATGGAAACCCTTGCTTGCTTCCAGAGTCCCATGTGAGTGATATAATTTTTCCCAACCTTTCACCTTCAGTCTGTGGATATTTTTCCTATGAGATGAGTCTCTTGGAGGCAGCATATTGTTGGGTCTTTTTTTAAATCAAATCTGTTGGGGAAGTATTGGCAGCTTCCCTAAATCCGTCCAATAGTACTTCTATTGAACATACATCACTTAACCATAATTTTATCTATTACAAATGGAGACATTTTCTTATCGCTTCCCTGGTGGTCTAGTGGTTAGGATTCGGCACCGCCGCGGTCCGTGTGTGATTCCCAGTCAGGGAAACAAAGCTTTTTCTTCAGAACAGTGAAGTAAAAATGGCTATTTCCTTTTAGAAAAGGAAAACTGAATTTAATATTTTTCTTTTTGGTAGAGAGTAGTTATCAGAAATGAGCTTTCTACTGATTTTAAGTGCCGGTTGTGTTCTGGGCATTTTAAAATACGAAAGGAAAGAACAACTCAGGCAGCACTAAATGTTCCAAGAAGAGCTCTGGGCTGACAGAAGTTTGACACAAAGTTTTAAAAGTCGTGTAAGATTCCCCAAGGCTGTTTAAAATGGCGCCTGTCCACTAGAGGTGTGGTTCAAAGCACCTCAGACCCTCAGAGCGGTTTGAGTAGTCGTTGCTATGGAAAGAAGCCAGGTAATTCTCCCCATCCCAACACCTACCTTTTAATTTTGAAAATAATAGAAATAATTGAAATAATGCTGCAACCAATTCAGTGTTCTCTTTATCTGAATTCACTTAATATTTTCTCAGTTCAATTAATATAATCCTTTCTCTCGAGAACGATATTCACAGGTCTCTGTACCCCCCTGCCAGCACCTGAAAGTTTCAGACTTGTGTTTATTCTATGGAACACCTGGAAAAATTGATATTAATATGTCCTCACTCACTACTTCACATTTACATTTCCCCTTGTTGTCTTTAAAAAACCATAGTTGCTTTTTTAGAAATTTTATTCTAGGAATTTTCTTTTTTCCCTTTCTTTTTCTTTTTTGCAGTACTGGGGATTGACCTGTACTGACTGGTACTGAGATAAATACTTGTTAAATACTAAGATAAATACTTGTTAGATTGTGAATCATAGATTTAAATGTAACGTATAAAACTGTAATTCATTTTTAAACTAAACATACAGGAGAAATTCTTCATGACCTTGGCCTGAGTATACATGACATAACTCAGATCTCAGCAAAATTTCAAATTTGTCCCATGAAATAGCTAGTTAATAAAATGAAAATACAAACTACACAGAGGAAAAAATCACAAACTACATTTCTTTTTTTTTAATTGGTTGTTCAAAACATTACAAATCTCATGACATATCATCTTTCATACATTTGATTCAAG